GTCAAACACTAGCTTCAAGTGCACCTTGTGCTCCTCTAGGGTTGTGCTATATATAACTATGTCGTCGAGGTATACTACGACGAACTAATCCAAGTATTCATGGAAAACCTAGTTCATTAATGTGCAAAACGTAGCTGGGGCATTTGTCAAACCAAAGGGCATTACCAGGAATTCAAAGGCCCCATATCTTGTTACACACGTCGTCTTGGGTTCGTCCCCTTCGGCGATACGTACTTGGTAGTACCCTGATCGTAGGTCCAACTTTGTGAAGTATTTGGCTCTGTGAAGCTGGTCAAACAAATCGGATATTATCGACAGTGGGTATTTGTTGTATACCGTCACCTTGTTTAAGGCTCTATAATCTATGCACAGACACAACGTCCCATCCTTCTTTTTCTAAAATAGCACGGGAGCTCCGTAAGGTGCTTTTGTCGAGCGGATGAATCCTGCCATCAACAACTCATCTAGTTGTTTCCTCAATTCGACTAGCTCAGGGGGAGCCATCAGGTATGCATTCTTTGCTGGGGGTTTAACCCTAGGGAGGAGTTCAATTTCGTGATCAATGCCTCGATAGGGTGGTAGTGTTTGTGGTAAGCTCTATGGCATTATGTCAGCATAAATGTCTAGTACATCCTTGATTTCGCTTGGAACAGTTTCCTCAGTGGTCATTTCTTCCATCAGGGGTATAGCCATAAATGTAGGTTCCTCTCGTGCGAGTACTCTCTTCAATTATATGGCTGAGGTCATTCTAAGATTACTTGGTTGCTTGATGCTTGCAAGTATCACTGTGGGGTTGTGGTCGGTGATCACCAAGCATTGGGATAACTTTGTGTTCTAGGAGGAAGTCCATCCCAAGTACCACGTCGAAGTCATCCATGCGAACCACGACAAGGTCCATTTCTCCTGTCTCGGTCCCTAATTTGAAGGGGACTCTTTTAGAAATTCCCAATAGGCAAGGCTTCGGAGTTGATAGCTTTCATTTTTCCGGGGTCTTTTTCTATTGTGAGTCCCAATCTTCGTGCTTCTTGGTCGGCGATGAAGTTGTGGGTCGAGAGTTTATTATTGCATCTACGAATATGAGTCCTTTCTCTATTATCTACTTTGGGTCGACCTTCCGTTGGAGGGCTAACAAGAATTTAAGCGCACCCATTCGGGGGTTGTCCTGATCTTCCCTTCTGTCTGGCATAGTCTCGACTCCTGTATCATTGCTCTCTTGAATGGACACTGGAGTGCATTGAGAGAGGCCCGATGAGGACAGTAGGACAGTCTGTGGGGGCCTTTACACAACAGGCATTGTAAAGGTGTCGTCGGATAGTTATTTTGAGGGTAAGGTCCTTGAGACGTCCCCGCTTGGTTATTCTTAAGAGGTCTATCTGTCCACCCACTTGGTCTGTCGTTACTTCCCTTTAGTCTATTGGGGCCTTCATTTCGATGACCTGGAGGTCTATATCTTTTGCCCTCAGTGTTTGGGGCCTGTGTCATTTTTTTTGGAAACTCGCTTCATTCCCAAAGTCTAGGAGTCTCTTAGCACTGGCAATTGTAGTAGCTAGATCTTGAACTTTTTTCTCATGTATTTTTGTTTTGGCCCACGGTTGTAACCCATTTATAAAAAAAATACCTTGTCTTTCTCTTATGTGCCCCTGATATCTAGCATCAGGGTCAAGAACTGTCTGATATAGTCTCTTATGCTTCCAATTTTTTCATTGCCATGTGTTCCACGTTTTCGGGGAAGAATTGGTCGCTCAACTCTCTTTTGAGGTCTTCCCACGAGTCAGTGGTGCACAATCCATTCTCGATGTCTTGCACCTTTGTACGCCACCAAAGTTTTGCATTGTCTATGAGATGCATTAAGGCTACTGTCACTTTTATGTCGTCGGTACAAGTCGTTGTGGCTTTGAAGTACTGTTGGACATTAAAGATGAAGTTCTCCAACTCTTTGGCGTCCCGGTTTCCTTTGAAGGGTCTGGGGTCTGGGAACTTCAGTTTGTTGGATCCTGTATTAGTTTGCCCAGTCGTGATGTTCTCCACGGCTTTCATTGTCTCTCCAATTCGGGTGTTCATGTCGGCCATCTTTTCTTGGATGGCATCGATAGTTGTTCTAAATTTGTCAGCTAATCCATTGAACAAACTCATCATTGTATTTTGTAGCACATTGAACTCTTCGTCACGTCCCTCCTTGTGCGCGATAGAGCTATCGGGGCTACCAGAAGGTCTTGAGCTGCTCTAAGAGCAACTCTCTCTTCGAGCGAGGCCACCCGAAACATTAGTTCTACGATTGGCAACCCATCCAGACAGTTGCCCATTGCGTCGATTTGTACAACTTTTCCATTCAATTCCGTCACCCGTTCTTCCAAGAAGCGGATGGTGTCAGGGACTTCTTTGAGGAACAACATTTCCTCCTCTATTAAAGTAAGCCGGTCGGCTTGTAATTTGGGTGTCAACTTTGTCGTCGACATAGTTTCGGTCTTTGCTATGTCACAGAGCTAACTTGCGATTGTGCGGCACTTACTTTCCAACGACAAGTGAGCTAAGTCAATTCGTTCTTGCGTCACCTACGGCCAAGCGACGTATGCTCGAGCCTCTGGCCTCGATTTAAGAGAAGGTTTTTGAAAACGACGGCAGAGAGAGATTTTTTAAAGAGACGTTACATAAGCAAGCAAGAGAGTAATAACAACGGCTCACAGTATATAACCTTAGGTAGGGAGAAGTTGACAACCAGTCATATCCCCCATAGTACATTTTGAGGCATTTCATGTCTGACAGGCCTAGACATGATTTTTCTGAAACGTCATACTCCATAAAAATACAAAAGAAAAACACTAGAACATGGAAAAACATAAAGGGGTTGGCTTGTCATGGGCATGCGGCCATGAGCAACACGCCTTGGATGAGCATGACTGTGACACGTGGCACACTCAATGTCGGGTCGGAGCACTAGTATGTTTCACACGTGGGTTCTCGGGTTGTCAATTCGGGTAGTGGGCTGCCAACCTCTAAATCCTATCAGACATGAGTTTTTTCGTCAATTTCTTCCCGTGAATGCTTGCTTGACACGCGTCATCTCTTCCGGTGACGCGCGACCTCTTTTCTGCCTGACATGTGTCTCTACCCTCGTCTAACGCGTTCTTCTTCCCCTTCAACATTGCAAATTCCAGAAACTCAATTATTTTTCATTTTCTTTGCATTTTTGTATTTCTTCCTACGTTACTCAACTTACACTACTCTCCGATTACCCCTTGAAAATTTAAATAAAATCTTTTTTTACTTATTAGAGCTCAATAGCTATATCATTCTTTTTATGGGATCAAGAGTAAATCTCACTCTTTTTACTTAGATCACACTATTAAAAATGTTGGAAGTTTTAAATAATACACAACTATCTTAAAATAAATAAATAAATAAAATAAATAATAAATAAATAAAGTGAATTTACGAGTTTGAGCATAAATTTTATCCTCACAATATAAGTCGTGAGAAATTGTAACAATTGTTGGAGAATTATAGAGAAAAAAATGAAGTTAAATAAGAGGAAAATAGGGCACAAATCATAATTTAATTTAAATTATTAATTTGAGTTAAAAAAAAATCAATGATGGAGATATTATTATTATTATTATAACTTAACCAAAGGTCAAAAGTTTTTTTTTACCGTGCAATCTGACATTAATTTTTTTTATTGACCTTATGTTCTCCTCTCCGACCGATGTGAGATCTCACAATTCATCTCTTTCGAGGCCCACCGTCCTCGTTGACATTCATTCCTTTCTCCAATCGATGTAGAATCCAAATAGATGTGACTTTTTTTTGTGCGAAAACATTCATTTAAAATCATTCTCAAAATGATGTCATGGACTACTATGTTTGCATTAAAAGCTTGTAAATAAAACAACGAAAAAACCAATGTGAAATATAAATAAATCAAAGAGAAGATTGAAAACGACGCCCTAATCTAAACTAAGATCTACAAAAATGAAATGTGACTACCCTAGCACAAGCTCTATGGTCTTCAACGCGACGTCGTCGTTAACAGTACAAATATTTGTATTTTAAAAAATACTCACTAAGCGACCCACTATTGAGGTCAGGGAATACAAACATACAACATGAATGAGACCTATTATTTAAAATCGTCGTTTCTTAGGCGAATTTATAGTTCGAGCAAATTGAATGTGTAGTACTTCTCTACACACGACCCACACGTGCGAGCATGGGTCGACCAAGCGGGCTCGTACACTCCCTGGGCTTACTGGTCGGGCTAACTTCTCTAGTGCTATTGCCAAACACCCAGAGGGAATAGCGACCGTCGTAGCATCATGATAAACATGATGATCATTTCCATCACATAGTGTACGTGTCTGTACTCATCATAAAAGGGAAAGTATCCCGATGCACGTAAATATACGATTATGCATGAGGTCCTCATAATTTTTCATTGTAAATAAACCATGCTAGACAACCCTCATTCATTTCACACATATTATACTCGATAATATGCATGCATAAACTCTTATAAAATCATTTCATTCATAGCATAACTTTAAAATCATAGCTTAGAGGTTGTGCATTGTAAAATTCTTTATTTCAAAACACATCATAACATGTCGTAACATATCATAAAATAACATAATTCATCTTAACATAATTTGACATTTCATTTATACTATAATGTTATTTGATATATGTTGGCATATCATATAGTGACACATATCATAGCATCAAACGTATGACACGTGTAGGGTCATTGGACACGTGTCATCGTACATAAAACAATTTTTCCAACCAAATTGATAGTAAAACCACTTACTTTAGAAAGAAAGAAAATGATAATTTTTGAAGATTGATAATAATTTTTGAATCAACATTTGATTTTACATTTGATTTTAGAAAGAAAGGAAATGATAATTACAAAATTAGATGTAACTATAAAGTTTTGGAATAAAATATTTTAGAAAGATTCATCCACTTCATTCATTCTAATCTCATCTCAATCACCATCATATATTAAAGGAAAAATGCGGTCAGCCATTGACTTGCTTCGACGCCTCCAATTCTCTTATAGCCCATTCTATTGATTGAACAGAGTCGCACATAAATCCAAGCTGGTGGAAGGGCATTTGAGCACGAGGAATAGGATAAAGCACAAGAGTATTTTATGGCGGCTTCGAAGCTCCAAGCATTCTGGAACCATCCTGCTGGCCCTAAAACCAGTTAGTTTCTTCCATTTTTCACAATCCCTGCTTTAGTTCTTGTTCTTTAGCGGTCAAATTCAAGTATGGTATCTCATTTTTCCTTTCGTCTTAGGTCAGAAGAATCTGGATCGCGAACGATCCATTTTCAATTTGATTGATTGCTTAAATTTTGCTCCGATGATCGTTGATTTTCAGATGCCAGATGATTTTATAGAATGATTAATGCAAAATCTAAAACGAGTATCTACCAACTATTAGTCACTCAAATTGAAACTATATCGTGAATGATCTACATAATCCAATAACTTCGTATTCAGAATCCATAGGCTACGTTCTTTCTCGCGAATGATCTTAATTCAATATTTCTTCGGGTTGTGTTCTGCGCAATTGAAGGCGTAAGGACATCCCGAGCAGAGGAAAAATTCAGAGGAGGAACCTTCAGATATTCCACTCGGTAAGACTCACTAGATGTACTCGGACCCTTGGGCAACCTTTTTATGAATAGCTACCCCAATTAGACCACCCATAATACTATTTGATGAGCGGTGTAAAATGAGCTTAGTTCATGTTGGGCTCGACTAGTTAGGGTGAAATATGTCCTTGTCTGGGTAAGCTAGCTGGTTGAGCCAAAGTCTCATTAGATAGTTTTGGACAATTTTTTCCCACATCTGGGCTCTTATTTGCTTGTTTCTGCTTCATGATGAGGTTAACGTTACTAACTCCTTTTGGTTGTAGTGTGATAAATGGAATGTGTGTCTTTTGTCGAAATGGAATGCTATCTTTTTATTTTTTTCTTTTTCCTTAATGGGTTAAAGGCGGGGTTCCGTTATAAATTAAATATAGTATACCCAACCCAAATCAGCATATTCTTTTGTTTTACACCCCGTAATTCTTCCTCAGCTAGGCTTCGACAAAATAGGAAAGCAAATACAAGTATTAGTAGAATAGCAAAAATGTGTTCCTCGTCATTAATATGTTTACTTGCGGTAATTGTGACCTCTCGGGAGAATTGATGACTGCATCAAAGATGCACTTGCTAGTACTAGTACATCTGAGAATTCTTAATTTGCTAGTACTAGTTGTTAATAGACCTAAAATGTGGAACAAAGGATTATGCCAGACCTACACCGAGGTATTGATGGTGATTCTCAAATATCGGAGAACAGAATTTGATAGGATGAGATAGAATGCAATAGAAACAAAAACACAGCTTCTTAATGCCCATTGCCCATCATTCTACAAGTTCTTTTCTTATAGGGCATTACCATAGGAACCGTAATTCTCTAGTTAGAATCTTTTTTCTCAAGAAATTGGCGCGGACTTTCGCATATTATTGCGGTGCCGGTACATCTGTCTTCATGTTAATGATCTTCTACTCTTTCGTTTTCGATCAAGTAATGTTGGTATGTTTCAAGTGACTGCATATCTGAACTGAAGGAAACTTGTTCAATTCATCACTATATAATGACCCCTTTTGTACTTCTTTCCAGATTAAAACATTATTTGTTATTCGTAAATAAACAACAAAAACTATATCTCTTCCTTGCTTCTCATTTTATGGTTTCTTATTAGCTTCTCTAGAATTGATATATAATGGTTGTGATGATTACAAGGCTTCTTTGTTTTCAACTAAAATGAGCAATCAGTAGAGGATTTCTGTGAGCTAATTCCTCTTTGTAATACAGTTCACTTCTGGGCACCAACCTTTAAGTGGGGTATCAGTATAGCCAATATTGCTGACTTCTCTAAGCCACCAGAAAAACTTTCATATCCTCAGCAAATAGGTATGTGTTCTATAGCAAAGGTCATTCAAGCCATGTAAAGTTTGCACCTTCCCAGTTCTTCTCTCGCCTCTATCGTTTCACACGTGCACTCATATTGCAATTTTGAGAAGATTAGTAACTTAATTTCTGTTCCCTACTATTATGGTTTGATTTTGTGTTCGAATAATTCCTTTATTAACGTTTTTTTCCCTCTTATCATATGCATCCAGCTGTTACAGCCACTGGAATTATCTGGTCACGTTACAGCACTGTGATCACACCGGTAAGTTAAAGAAATGACATGACTAATGATTGATGAAACATAAAGTGATAATAGTGTGACCATATGAATGACCCATATTTTGTAAAATATCACTATTACGAAGAGTGTTGGGCTTTCACCTCTCTTGATTAGTTCTTCTAGCCTGCTTAAGCTAAATGTTCTCGGAAGTGGCTTTGATAGCATTGAAGCATAAGACCTTGTCTTTGTCTTTTAACAAGAACCCACATAAGTAAGGGTGCAATCATTGCTGTACTAAGTAGGGGAAGGATAGATTCATGTTAAAGCTTTGAAAGTTTTCCAGCATACATGGAGAGAAAAAGGACAGCTAGAGAAAGGATACCATCACTTTCACTTGTGTTTAAGTTTTGTTTAGTTTTTAATTTGATTCTAAGTGTGGCCATTTGAATCGGGAATTGCTATGACCTTTATCATAGTTCTTGAGACCACCTTTTAGACTGGTCTGCAAAACAAAAAACCTTTGCCTTCTTTGGAGATCTTGCTCTCCGTAAAGCTTCGAGGATTCACCAGGGAGATTACTGGTGCCACTATGAAGTCCTTGAAAAGAAAACTTGCAAGAATAGGCACTTGATTTATCAAGAATCCGAAGCCTTCTATCTTCATTAATGGTGAGAAGGCCACCATAAATTTTCTCCATCAGTTCCAGCCAATCTTTCCACCTTCTAATCCAAAAGATTCCTCCCAAGTTCTCAAAAGTTTGAGTGGTTGGTCTTTACGATCTGTTCCCTCCTGAAAGAAGTCTTTCAATTGCTTGTCTGGGTATTACCAAAAATCTCCCTTTTCCACGGTTTAAGTTTCTTTCTTAGGGCTTGCAAGTTCTTCATGATTGAAGATTCATTATCCAGGTCTCTGGAAGCAATTTCATCTATCCTCTAACATAGTGAAGACAGAAGGATGCTTCAATCAGCAGTTTCCAAAATCGAAGGAGAAGGGTAGGGAAGCAATCCGTTGTCATTCTATCTAGCCAGTTCACTTTATCATCACAGTATTTCCCCACCCATTCCTTACAGATGAGAAGTTGGTCATGCATACATGGCTGCACTTCTGACATTTGAATTTGTAAAACGCCAATTTCTAGGATCGAAACCAATGAGAGGTGGATCATTAATCACTCGAGGAAGTTTCGTTGCTTGCCGAAGTCCATTCGTATTTTTGTGCATCTACTAGTGTTTTTTTTTTTTTTTTTTTTTTTTTTGTAACTATCCTTTAGACCTTGTCCTTTTGGATCGAAACCCTTTTTTGTATAGTTAGTTTAGTGAGAGGCAATCCTTTTATTAGGGTTTTTCCTGAAGATTATGCTTGGGACTATCCTGAAACATTGAAATCACCACCTATGACCAAGTCACAGGAACAGACTGCCAGGTCTTCCAACCTTAGCCAAAAAGCGACCTCTTCGATATGAAAACAAATGATGAATCCAACTAATTAAAATAAATACCTTCCAAACCATATCAAGAAATGTCCCGGCTTCTTGAACTCCAGAAGACTTAATATAGGGCTTTTTCTACAAACAGCCACAATTTGGCTTTCTTGCAGTAATACAAGTCTGGATTTTACCCTCCCATGTGAAAGTGTTGATCAAGCATCCCTTCTTACCGTTGCTTCAAGCCCTCTTAACATTCCAACTTGAGATTCTCGTTGATTATTTCTCTTTGTAGTGTCACTTATCTCTCAAGCCTTGATCATAATAATTGTGTAAGGGAGCTCATTGAAGGAGTTTGTAACTGCCCAAGCCCACCACTATTAGATATTGTCCTCTTTGGGTTTCCCTCAAAATTTTCAAAACGCGTCTGCTAGTGAGAGGTTTCCACACCCTTATAAAAGGTGTTTCGTTTTCCTCCCCAACCGATGCGAGATCTCACAATCCACCCCTTTGAGGTCCAACGCCCTCGCTGCCGCTCGTTCCTTTCTCTAATCAAGGTGGGACCCCTCCAAATTCACCCCACTTTGGGGCCCAGCATCTTTGCTGGCACATCGCGTCATGTCCAACCCATTCGGGGCTCAGCCTCCTTGCTGGCATATCGCTCGGTGTCTGGTTCTTATACCATTTGTAACAGCCCAAGCCCATTGCTAGCGGATATTGTCCTCTTTTTCCTTTTTGAACTTCTCCTCAAAGTTTTTAAATAGAGGTATAATTATGGGTATTATATTGTAGAATCTTGGCCGAGGGAAATATCTTGGTTGAACCATGGAAGTATTTAACTGTAGAATTGTGTATTCCCAAGTATCTCTATGTGGGCTAAACTAAACATTTAACTAATCAGCACGGACCCATCGTTTATTCTTTGTACCCTGTTTGGTCCGTCTTAAGGTTGCTATTTGCATGTGTTTGACAGTAGTTTGAAGAAACAGATATAAATAATAAATCTCCTTTCTTAAACCTTCCTTCCAAGTACCTTGTCCAGCTAAACTAATTTGACGAATTAACATATGAATGTACCTTAAATTGTATCTTAGCTAATGGCTACACTTTTCGGAAAATGCAGAAGAACTGGAACCTTTTTAGCGTCAATGTTGCAATGGCAGGAACTGGCATCTACCAATTGACAAGAAAAATACAGTAAGTCGTCGCTCCCCTAGCCTCGTAAATATAAATACTGCATGGTCCTTGTGGGACGTGGGGATGTTGTTGTGCTCTTTAGTCTAGGATACATATTTCAACTTGGAGCCTTATTATCAATGGATCGATTTGATCTTAACTTATACTTCACTTTTTGCATCAATCATGTACATCTATGCAAATAGTTTTAGAATATAATTTTGTCAAAATTGTTTGTGAAGGAGCGAACTTAATTACATGGAAAGATTATTATTACTTTAAACTTTGCATAGTTCTTCATTTTGCCATCGTAGATGGCCGACTAATTCAACATTTCATTTGCAAATGTACCAGGCACGATTATTTCTCCAAGGAGGAAGTGGCTGCCGTCGAAGAATGAGACCAAATATTACATTATTTGCCTCAGTGATCACCTGAATTTCCCTTACATCCATGTGTTGCCCCCCTCCAAATCTTACCTAACAAAAGCTCCATGAATTTCTTTTGAATTTCTTTTTTTTTTATTACGAATCAATTCTTATCCTTTATTTTACTACCTTTATTTTACTTTTGTAGCTATGAAACTAAGCTTGAAACTGTTTCGAAAAATAAACGAGATCCTGATTTACGCAACACCTTCTATGAAACTGTAACGGTCTAAGTTCACCGCTAGTAGATATCGTCCTCTTTGGACTTTTTCTTTCACGCTTTCCTTCCCGTCATTAAAACGTATCTGTTAGGAAAAGGTTAAAGGGTGTTTCGTTCTCCTCAACCAATGTGGGATTCTCATAATCTGCTTCTAAATAGATGAGTTGTGGAAAACGTGCATTAATAACGTCTTGACGAGTGAAACATAGACATGGTAGGAAGAGATGAAAAGAAAAAAACGTCAAATGTTTGATTGAAATAGTAAGGCTTTCTTAACTCTTAGGGTCCATTAGATAATCATTTGACAGAAACCAAATAAAGCTAAATCCTCAGTGGATAATCGTACACAATTCCCTCGACTCTCGATACAGCTTCTAACATCAATATCGAATTTCAAAGATAAAATATGGTACTGTTTATCTTTTTCTGTGAACAAATCAAAATTAGCTCAAATAAGCAATCATATCATACTAGTATTGAAGAACCATATACTTCCAGGATTAGCAGAGATGTGGGATGTCAAGTAACTCAGTTCCAACAAGAGAATTGAATTTGTAAGCACGAAACTGCAGCTGCTTCTAAAAGTTAGCCCTTCCTCTTGCCATCTCTAATGTGATCAGCTTTCGAACCAGCTTCGCCATCGTCATTGAGAGCATTCAAGTTCAGACTTAAATCCAAAGTACTTTCGTTCAAATCTTGGCGCACTACATGGTCGTTGTCCTGAGACATGAAATCAAGAGGTGAACCATTGAACCGGTTTCATCTCGAAGGTTGCAGATTAACATGTTTATGACGAAAAATAAATTACCTGACTTTCGTCCATTGGTACATCGTTAATATCTGGTTTCTCGTCTTGAAGCTCGCCCTTGGCACTCGCCACTGCACTTCCTGGTTCAACATCATTTGATTTGTTAGCTTCATATTCAACTTTGTCAGCAGTTTCATTTTCTGCAGCCTCGTTTTTCTGTTCCTCCAATACAGCAATCTGCAAATGAAATAGTCTCAAAATGAAACCCTTGACCTTCCCTTAGGCATTTTAAGAGTTGTAACATTCATAAATTATGGTCACAAGTGTAAACGTAACATTCATAAATTATGATCACAAGTGTAAACGTAACCTAAAGTAAATAAAAAGTACTAAAATGCATTAATGAAACATCATAACTCCAAATTATGAAACTTCATTCTTCTTCAACCTGACATGAATGGAAAGATCTCTTAATAATTTTGACAACATTTTCTTCACATTTTCCTTCAAGTTTATATTGCATGATTGATGTCTGGTTCATACCACTTTCAGAAGATTCACCATATTCACCATAATGTCAACCACAAAGTCTAAAGAACGAAGCCATTCAAATCTTCATCAACACATTTACACAAGATACACTAATTAGCATGAGCAAGGCTCTTTTAACAAAGTTCATGTAACGGCCCAGACCCATCGCTAGCAAATATTGTCCTCTTTGGGCTTTCTCTTTTGGGCTTCTCCTCAAAGCTTTAAAACACGTATGCTAGGGGAAGGTTTCTACACCCTTATAAAGGGTGTTTTGTTCTCCTCTCCAACCAATGTAGGACAGCACAGTTTAAAGAATAGATCCTCCCAAGGACAACACACCAAGAAAAGACCTGCATCTTCTTTGAGACTTCAACTTCTAAAGTTTGGAGAACAAAAGAAGAATGGCGGAAAGAGGGAAGGAAACCAACCAAACAAGTCTTACATGTGGTGATACCAAATGGATCAATAGGCCACACACAACGTTAACTGTGACAAGGAGAAATGTTGAATATTGGGATAGAAAAAAGGAGTATTGTATAACATTGCAACATATATGACATGTAAACAGTGCCATTAAAATGGTATCCTATTAAAACAAGAACTGTGCTTGTTTCAGCAGAGTTAATAACAGCAATACAAAGCTACAATCAACGTAAGTGTTAACAAAGTTTCTGTTTGTTAACCGAGTTCACTATAGCAATATCCCTCTAAAACAAGCACCCTTTTTTGATAGGACATACGTTTTAACAGTATTAAAAAACTACGATCATTGCAAGTGTCAACAAAGTATCTGTTCATTAACAGAATTCATTAAAGCAACATAAAGCATATAAACAGCCAACGTACTTTCAAAAATTTTGTATTCATCAGGCAGTCCTGTCACTTTCCAACCCACTTTTCCCTTTTTAAGATCCTTCATAGGGTCGCTAACTATATGAGGAAGAAAATTTAAAAAGAAGCTCAATATTGGGCGGTCTTAATCATAAAGGGGAAAGTCATCTTATTAATTACTCGGAATTATTCACATCTATAGTATATTTAAACAAGAATGGCCATATGTAGGCTGTGCATTCTTTTAGGTAACTGGCCTTCCCAAATTGCCTTGCACATGAGTATTGAGAACACCCTCTCCACTACCAAGTCTACTGAAAAAGAATTTCATCAAAAGGTTGTCCATCTATCAAGTCTAACTGTTAGATGAGTTGCCTGTTGGAAACCTAGCCTAGAAGCACGGATATGAATTGTGAGATCTCGCATCGGTTGAGGAGGAAAACAAAACATTCTTTATAAGGGTGTAGAAACCTCTCCCAAGCATACGCGTTTTAAAAACCTTGAGGGGAAGTCCAAAGAGGACAACATCTGCTAGCGGTAGGCTTGGGCCGTTACAAATGGTATCAGATCCAGACACCGGGCAATGAGCCAGCGAGGAAGCTGAGCCCCAAAGGGGGTGGACACGAGGCAATGTACCAGCGAGGAGGTTGAGCCCCGAAGGGGAGTGGACACGAGGTGGTGTGCTAGCGAGGAGGATGAGCCCCGAAGGGGGGTAGACACGAGGCGGTATGTCAGCAAGGACGCTAGCCCCAAAGGGGGTAGATTGGGGACTCCCACATCGATTGGAGAAGGGAACAAAGCATTTTTTGTAAGGGTGCAGAACCTCTCCCCTAGAAGATGCGTTTTAAAAAACTTGAGGGGTAGACCGAAAGGAAAAGTCCAAAGAGGACAATATTTGCTAGTGGTGAGGCTTGGGCCATTACATGAATACACAACAAGGATACTACTTGACACGGACACGAAGACATGCTAATTAGGTCCATTAAACTAGCCTAGAAGCACCGATATGAATACTCAAAGCTACCTACCATTAGGTCCATTAACTATCCTCTTGTTCTGAATACAATAAAAACCGAGGATAACTTTAAACGAGTATCAACAACATTTGATAATCTTCACAACCTTCAGAAAGAAGAGCTTCAAAAATGGCCTTATTACTACGAGTATCCATATGAACACCCAGTATCCTCTTGATTTCTACCAAGGACGAGAGACGACCTTCCAATTGACCAAATGCTACCAATACCCTTATGCTCACCTTCCCAGAAATCTCTAAGCAACGTAATAATCTTTCAATGGGTTATATCTAAATCTTTCTGTCAAATTAAGTTCATTCTGGCTATACATCAGCTTAAAGGAACTCATTATGTTCTTGTCTATTCTACACTTCTTTCCTTCAAGTTCTAAAAGCTCCAATAGTGTCCTATAGTAGAAGAAGACTTGGAATAATAGTTGGAATAGAAGGAATTCCACAACCGAAGCCATGAATCTATAAAAAATGCCACAATAAGTATTTTCATTCCAACAGGAATAGAACAATCTGGATAGAAAGCACTTTCTTATTACGTTGGAAAATTCCCATCAAAGTTTTGCTAAGAATATTACATGGTTATTCTATCATTCGTTCTCAATATCATTGATGAAAGTTGTTCTTTCATGTATATATAATTATATTGCTTTTAACATTTAAAGAATAATAGATCTTTGGGTAAATTACAAAGTCTGTACAGTAGGGAGAGACTATTTATGAGTGTTTTATCAAACCATAAGGACTAATTCTAACATTTAAAACCATAAGGACTATATTCAACTTCCTCCACTTCTAATTTTCTCTAAGCCATATGGACCAAATTTGTAATTTAAACTAATTTTTTTCTCTACCATAAGAGCTAAGAAAATTTTCCCTATCCTTCCTGACCTTTTCACAGGATCTATCTTAAAGCAGAAGCCCTTTTGGTGCCACATTTTTCAAAATACCAATGCAATAAATCTCGTAACTTCCCAAACCCTCACCACACAATCTCTCCACTGCACTGGAAAATCCATTATAACACTCGAGCTAAATACCCTACAAAATGGCAAAGAAATTAGCACGCCACAAGACTGTCCTTTTCACATAATGACGAGCTTAGAAGCACCAACTCCACCCCAAAATAGCAATCCTTATTCCAGCCAAGCAAAACCTAAACGACTTTAGCCACTATGCCAAAAGAGGCCGAGTGTAATAACCGTACAGCTGACAATAAATGAGGAGAGAGAAGGCCAGCTGTACCGACCCTTTTTGGGTAAAGAGGAGTAAAAAAAAGGAATAGGAAAGGGGCAGAAGGGGGGTAGGTCTGCCACCTACCCCGATTTCCTCCTAATTTCGGTTGGTGAGAGGCCAAGGTGTTTAAATTAGAGGGAGGGGGTTTGAAGGAAGGGAGTGTAAACGTCAGGTGTTTTATTGGAGTCAAGGCAACGCCGCGGGAGAAATTCCAACAAAGGAGCTCACAACATTAAGGATCCACCATCGCGGCCATGGTGCACGTCGGGGAGAAACGCGAGGCCATAAGCTTGCAAGGGCGACCATTGCTTGTAAACAAAGTCAGACAACTAGGGGCCGAAGTAGAGGAAAGAAGGATCGTGAGCAAGGGATGAAGAAATTTAAGAAGAGGAAATCGTGGTTCTCTGCAATAGCAAAAGGGAGGAAGAGAGTACGAGGAAGAAGCAAAAGGTGCGACCCGACCCGTGCTACCGAAACCGCCTTCAATCATGCTTGATAGCGCCCGACCCGCCTTTCTCCGACCCAAGCTTACCCGACGGGTGCTGAATCGAACCGCTTAGTTAAACCCCCAACCCATCTAGTTGACTCCGACACGCTACCCAGACCCGACCCGA